CCATTCAACTTAGAAACTAAGCCCAACCTTTGGTTGATGCAGACAATCGCAAGCAAAACTATCTTCCTCCCACCTTCCCCCAATGCAAAACCCTTTCTCAATCTGAGTTAAAACAACCAACAAAAATGAAACTGAGATTGCACATGCATTCCTTTACTTAAGTCTGGTTTAAGTCATGAAAGTTAAACATAAAATCAATAGAGGTGCAGACAATATACTCAGTCAAACCATAGAAAGATGTAGATGTAAGGGCTTTAGCTGGGTTTATAGAAGGAGATGATGATTACCACTCAGTTCCCTGCCTCCAGAACCTCGGTTACGTTTCGATAGAGCTCCCGCAATCGGTGGGGCGAACCTGCCACAGAGGCATTGACATAGATTACGGGTTTGAATCCCGCCTGCCGACTTCTTCTCAGAACCAACAGAGCAGACTTGGAGCAAGAAGGACAGAAGGTAGAAGCGTTAAGTCTCTCAGATACGAGGGAGGTGCACTCAGACTCGCGCGAGAGGACCTTGATTCCTCGATGAGACTGAGGGCCCCGCAATTGCGGCCAGATTCGCAGCAAGACAGTCAAGCCATGACGCGAACGCGGTGCAACAACACCGTGACAAGTCTCCTAATCGCAATGATAGCCTCCGTACGAAGTCCGACCGTTCCTTTGGCCACACTACGTCTACCTTTGACTAAACCGTGGTACCGCAGCCTAGAAGGGTCTGTGTTCAAATAGTTAACATCCCCCCTCTAGCTCTATTCAGGACGCAGGCTGATCACAACAGTCCACCATAGTGCACATGACAATACAACGCCAGGCGCAGTAGCATAGTAGCCACGAGCGCGGTAAAAAAAATTCACCAGCTTCCAACAATAACTTGCTTCATGAACTCAAATAGCAGCGCCCACAAAGAACAAAGTGATAGTCTTTTGTAGCAATAGTCTCCCTTAGTTCACCAAGGCCGGAACTAGCAGTAGGTCCTTAATAATGGCCGCAGTAGCATAGTAGCCATGAGCGCGGTAAAATAATTTCACCAGCTTCGAGCAACAACGTGCTTAATGAACTCAAATAACAACGCCCGCAAAGAACAAAATGACAGTCTTTTGCAGCGATGGTCTCCCCTAGTCCACCCAGGCCGGAACTAGCAGTAGGTCCTCAATAACGGTCGCAACAATGATAAAGCAGAGGTAAGCAAGGATTCAACAAAAATCCACAAATAACATGACAACATCCCCTGTCAATGGACATCCGCACGTAGTTGAAGACAATGACAACACCATTCCAGCGGCTCCCTCAACAAGTCGCAGCCGCCGTAATGAACAACACTCGCGGCCACGGTGCAACCGCATCCTCTTTTCTCTGTTTTGTTCTTCTCACCTCTCTTCGCAGTAGTGGCCTTCTGCTCATAATGGGCCTGAAGAGGATGTGCACAGGGTTCGGCTTGCTCCCTGCTGATCATAATTAGCCCTTGCACATGAAATTCAACATCATCAACTTCCCTGTGGTTAGCAAGTGAAATCTCCTCAGAGACAACTAAGTACAGTGACCAAGAGTCACAAACATGATGGTCACCAGCAGAGAGTCGATGACAACCCTGCTGGTTGAGGGGATGATCACGTGCCATAGAACCAGCAAGGCCCTGCCAGTGGTCGACCACAGTAACCAGTTGCGGGCGAAACGTAGATCCGACTATCATGTTGACCGAGTGTGCAAAATGGGAGCGAATCTTCTGCTGAACCAGGGACATATACATTGCTAAACTTCCCCTCGTTTCGTTGCGGCTTGACACCGTCGCTCGACTCTCCACTCATCCCGCATTGCCAACACTTAAGGTGAGTGACGAAGCCCTTCCTCTCTCTTTGTCATACATGCACGCACGCGATACTTCCCTCAGCAGTCTGTACCTGGTTGCACTAACGTCCGGATTCAAACAGCGGTATTGCTCAGAGCAGATCGGGAGTGCTGAATAAAACCGAAAAGCATGGCGATTGCCCGGGAACAAAAGGATCGCGAACATCAGTACGAACGAACGAGAGAGCGACGACGAGAGGGCGCTATGACGAAGATGACCATGGCAGTAAAAGCGAAGGCAACCATGGCAATGAACATCGGGGTCAGGACTGTGGCCGCAATGCTAAACGACGATGCGCTGGAATTGGCTTTGCTTCGCTTGCAGAAACATAAGGAAAAAAAAAAAAAAAAAAAAAAAAGAAATTTCCGCTAGAACGAGGAAAAATACATCGCCGTTTTCGAGCCTTCCCCCTGGGCACAATTTCCGGTATTGATCCCGGCCAAACTGCTAACCTAAAGGCAAATCCGACACTGCCATGATGCTGGCAGCGCCTCAAAACCCCGATCTATCATCTTCTTTCACTCTATTTCATCAAGAAACGAGTGAAATCTTTGTTTTACCGCCTCGCCATATCCATCCTTGTCGTTACTCTGCGCGGTGCTTTTCTTTACTAACTCATAATCTATTAATTCTCATACCCACCTGATTGCAAATTCAGGGTCGCCATGATCCAAAACCCTCGATTCGAGTTTTCACTCGTCTGTTTCTGTCAAGAAACGAACGAGATCAATGATCTTCCACCCCGACCAGACTCGTTTTCCTCCATGCTCGCCTCCAAATACACCCGACACGATATGTTGTCCAGGTTCAGCCCCTCCTCGTTGGCCTCATCCTCCTCTCAACGGGCATGCTCATACACACACACCCTTTCAGCAGATGGTGGGCGACGGACTGCACCCACAGCGAGCCCAACCACCCTGGTTTCTTCCTCCTCGTGGAACCGACTCCCATGCCAGCATGCATGTTGAGCCTCTCGATCAGGCAGGATAGAGGAACTACGCTGGCATCCCGAACGCACGCAGGTCCGCACGGGTCCTAAAACCGGTGTCGGGCCCCACTTGAAAATAATAAGAATACTAATACTAATAAAGATAAAAAATAATAACCACAAATATTAAAGGTAAAGCCGCATGACGAAGGGAAGAAAAGAGGAATACTACTAATACTGCATTGGTCCCGCCAACCCCTCAACAGTTTGTATAATCCCCTAACTTATTACATTGTAAGTGATAATCCACCTTAACCCCGGCTGTAGTTAAGCATCAACGACTGCCCGACAACTGATACCCTGAGGTGGGCACCAACCACTGCCCTCAAGGTACCTTTGGCAAAAGTCAAAGCAGACTATCATTCACCCACACCAGATGGAAAACTCTACAGACTGTCGGTTCACACCCCATCACCAGCAAGCAAAACAACCACAAAATAAAGAAAGGTCTGTCACAGCCAAAAAATACACTCCGGACACGCTGCTGGCACTAGAGGCACAACATGGTCGCGTAGTGATGGCCCCGACCACTGCCGCTCGACCTAACCGGAGAATACCGTAGCAGGGTGATAGCGAAGTCGTGGTATATATAGTCAAATAGAGCTGCCCGGTAAACCATAGGCGGAGAGGGAGAAGAGTACAAGAAACGAGAGGCTGTGACAAACTGTTTCGTCGGAGTTTCAATTGGTCAGACCCTGTTCTCCCCTAGATGACAGGCAGGTGTAGGCTCTTCGGCTCGGATGCAGTAGTTTATAGACATCCTCTACTACCTCTAGTTTCCGCTCCGCCATTAGTTGTCTGAGAATGAGTATATTAGGGCCTAGGTTTGGCTGAGACGGGGTCGCCTGGTTGGACTGATGACCAGCAGATCTGCGATCCATTAACGGGTCAAGAATCGTGTTGAAGTCACCTGCTATTATTATCGGGGCATCGTCCGGTAGATATTGGAGAAGGGAGAGCCAAAGGTCTATTCTATGTGTTGAATCATTGGGCGCATATACGGAGACCAGGTAAAATTTATCCTCTTCATACGCCACCTTAAGACTAACCCACCTTCCTTGCTGCACATCGTGGTCAACAGTCGACGATTTGAGTTTGGAGGAGGGAGGGCAGGTGGGTCTCTTGAACACACATTGCGTCGGGCCAACCCCCATTAACTGGGTTCTTTAACATATTCCATATGGCGTTTTTTTTTTTTTTCTGCTTTTGCATGGATCAATCCATTGACATTGAGCGAGAGAATGTCGATGGCCGCCCTGGCTAGCTTCACTGCCCATTGGGGAGGCCTCCTGCTCGTGGGAAAGACCGGGGGGGATGGTGGGCGCTGAGGGGGTTAGGGGGTTGTGATACAATCCTTGAATCCCATAAGGGAAACGGCTGAGGCCATGTTGGTAATCTGGTCTTATCCTGTATTTGGTGCTAAAACCCTAAACCCTAGCTTGATACTTCTTTGTCTGTATAGCCTGTCTCTGGTGGTCGTTGCCATATGATAGCCTGATGTGGGTGCTGGGGCAGGTCTGAACTTTAGGTATCGGTTGAAGAGGAGTCTGTTTGGATTGGGTTTTGGATNAGAGAGAGAGAGAGAGAGAGAGAGAGAGAGAGAGAGAGAGAGAGAGAGAGAGAGAGAGAGAGGGCTCAACAAGCATGAAGACTGGGTTGTAATAGAATGAGAAGCAACGACGGCTAAGCTGACACTTGTGTTTCAAAATCTTTCTTTGAGTTGGCTAAAGATTTTCACCTTGCAGGTTGCACAACATCCCGGCGGAGTAGGAACCGGACTGACACTCCCCAGAATGGAAAGGAGCCAGAGCCATAAGGTTCTGTTTACAAAAAAATAAAAAAAATAATAAAATAATAAAATCCCATCCCATTCAAAAATCTCATGACAATCCATTCCCTCCCATCTTCGATATTTCCTCTTTCCACCATGCTCTCTCTCTCTCTCTCTCTTCCTAGGCTTCCACGGACTGCCCTTGTTCCAAAAACGCTGGTAAACTCATATACTATTAATACTATTTTAATAGTCTATTATACTTACAATATAAGTAAAAATTCTAAAAATTCTAAGTTACGACGGATGTTTATGCGCTCCTCAGGCAGAAACACCTCTGTGTCATACAGTTGACTTACATTGGCATTGCCGTCTAATGAAGAACTACTTTAACACGCATCACAAACCTTTTGATTCGACAAATTTTCATACATGTCCGGTACGACAATATACCAAAGATTGCAGCTAGCAATCCCATCTCCCCCCTTCCGTCTCCCCCTCCTCTCTTCCTTCCCTCCTCGTAACCACCTCCACTTTTTCCTGCAAGCAACTGTGTTGCATGACTGGATGCCGCTGTCCTCAACATCGCCTTATATGATAATAATCGAGTCGCCTGAATTTGATTGCTACATAGGCGAACCACACTTGAGTTTCGGGCTTTCCGGTATATAATAATCCGGCCACCCACGCCATCTTCGTCGTTATCCTCGTCCTTATTGCAATCCCGCACGTTGCCATCGCTGCATTCCCACGTCACCGCCGATCTCATTGGTGGCGACATTTCGTTGCTGATCCATACTGTGTGCTTCTTACTCCACCCCCCCAAAAGAGTCACCCCCCAAAAAAGTCACCACCCAAAAGAGTCAGCGCCCAAAAAGAGTCACAGGGCCATTTGAATAACAGCCCTTCTTTGTCCATTTGGCAATCTGTAACGTCGCCGAGAAATGAGAAATGGATGACCGATACAATCCAGCCAGTGCATTTCTGCTGTCTAAGAAGATTGTTTCTGATTCCCAAGCGGGGAGAAATTGTTGCACGCAAACACTCCCATCTGGTGAATTAACTCCACACAGCAACCCTCTGATTCCAATTCCGCCGGCTGAGAAACTGCTGTACGTAGCAAGTCCGCGCCAACACTCCCATCTGGAAAACAAACTCCACAGCTACCGTCTGATTCCAATTCCGCCGGCCGAGAAACTGCTGTGCGTAGCAAATCCACAAAAAAAAACAAAAGGTGAAGAGCTCACAGCGATGTTGTCATTTACAAAGGCAAGGCGTCGAAAAGCCCTATATATAAGTCTATGTCAGCACCTCCCTCAACGTTTTCGTACACTGCCCGCTCGGCGGTACTGCTCTCTTATTATGTCATCCCATCTACAGTAGGGTGTCTCCTCCACGTTGAATTACTGACATCGCAGACTTGCTACCGCACATGGATGACTGTCTCTCCTCTTCCCCCCCCCCTCCCTCTCTCTATCTCTCTCTGACACGCGCACATGCTCATACACACACACACACACACACAAGTTCGCACGCCCACATGCTTGAGCATTAATATCATGGCGTACAGCAACTTCTCCTCCAAACCACTCAACCCTTCCACTCAATATGCCACTCAGATGGAAGTAAAACAGAAGAAGACACATGCACACACATGCTCACAAACACGCCCACATACGCCCCCACACACACAAACATGTTCCTTTCACTTCCGCTCCGGTCGTTGACCAACTTGATGAGCTCCAATGTTGAATTGTTTTTTTTTTTTTTTCTTTGAATTGTTGGCGGTCTCTTTTGGCATATATAATATATTCTATCCCTCACATTTCATTTCCAGTCACAAAGGAGGTGAGAAGTGCTATAAGGAGGAGAGATCTGGAAAGGATGGGGAGGACAGAAGAGATCACAGGAAAGGAGTCCTGTTTACAGCTGCTAGTGTTGAAGAACGCACAAGTTGCGGAGACCGGAAGGGGGGTTGGGTTTTTTGGTTGAACTGTGCAAAATTGTCCAACTAATATCCTTTTCGAAAAACTCGAGCCAAATTTGTTGTGATAGGCATTTTGCTGCATGCTAATCAAAAACAAAGGGCCTGAACAAGTCCACACCTCCAAAGATATTAAACACAAGATTAAAAAAGACAAAAAAAAAAAAAAAAAAAAAAAAAAAAAAAAAGAACTGAAGAGGAAAAACCATAAAGACGCAGAGGAAAGAAGCACACAAACGAGGTTTCTCTGTCAATTTCACATATACTCACGTCCCCTCCTCGGCGACATGTTCTGTTCCTGTTGTTGTTGTTGTGACATAATGACAGTGACATAAAAATGCTCAAGCCTGACTGTCAGCCTGCAAGTCCTATCTCCACACTGCCCCTACATAGATTTTCCCGATGTTACATCAGTACGTGAAATGAAGGCCATGTCCTCAAATACTCAAGCAAGCAGTTGCTCAGCCAGCCAAATGATTAGTAAATCTCATTATACCCCAAACCAAACCCAAGGGGGGCCCAAACACTCTCCGTTCCATTCACCCAATCGAGTGATCACTGCATATTTCCAATTCCACCCACAGAACAGAATACGACATTATAATGCAAAATGTAGTCCATCCATCCTATCTCCACATTGCTGCACAGAGATATCACCCCCAGTTACGTCGACCGGAAATGATGAAGGTGATGTGTGCTCACTAAACAAAGGCTTGCTGCAACAAACGATTACTAAATCTCACCCGGAAGGGCGAGCCCAAACGTCATCCATTCACCCAATCGATCGCTGCATGCTTCCAACCACCTGAAAGAATACGACACTTTCCGTTCCGCGCAGCGTCCAATGTGACTAGATTCGTGGCAGCGGACTTAGCCGATCGACGTGAATGCCATTGACATCTCTCAAAAACATCGCTGAGCCAGTCTGCCCCTCGTCCTCATAGTCCATATGTCCATATACAGACATATTCCATTCCATTCCCTTCGCCAGCTCCCGAGGGCTGATGCCATCATCATCATTCTTCAGCTGCTTCTCCCATTGTCTGCCTGCTGCTCCCGGTGAGCAAGTGAATGATGGACAGTTAACACCCAATGCGGAAAATGCTGTCCGAAAACCGAATCTCAAATTGAATCCAAAGTTTTCCCACCATCAAACAGTAAACATGCTCTGCCTTCCCCAATCAATCTGTGCTGTATCGTTCATCTTGTGCCGTTACGCTCCCACCGTCACACTCCCAACCTACCCATGAGCATCAGAAGGAGAGGCTATTGTCCTCGGCCTTGTTCGACTGCCTCCTCCACTCCTGCCTTCAGGCGATGAGTCCACTCTTTCCAAAAGCTTTTTCACTAGCGCCTTCGCCTTTCGGACTTCCACGCTCGTCGGCGTGTAATACAGGACGCTGTTTCGTTCGATTTGCTCGACATCATGTCTGTAAGCATTCACGTTGCGATAGTAGTTTCCCTCCAGTCTCTTTTTTATCATGTTCACTCCAATAGGAAGTGCCACCCTGCATCCCATCACAAGCCACAACCAACCAACCAACCAACCAACCAACAAAACCATAAGACGACCAAGGAAAAACAGGGAATGGGATATCACATTTTCATGCGGCCATCACACATGCTGATCAGCCAATCCAATCAATTAACCGACGGACAGGACCAAACTCCTGCCCGCCCACACGCCCTTGTGCCTCTCCTTTCATGTACAAGGCTCGCCAAGTTGGCGTAGTTGAGCGTGACCTGCCTACGTCCCCGTGTCATCATAACGGCCCACTTGCACCCTACCAAAAAAGGGCAGAATAAAGGGAGAGGGGACAAAGAGGGAGGAAAGACCGAAGGGAGACAAAGGGAAAATAACGAGTGTGGGAATAAAGAGGGGGAGCACAGGGAGTGTGGGAATAAAGAAGGGGAACATAGGGAAGGATAAGCGGAGACTCAGGAGTCAGTCTGTGCCTGTCCTCGACGACAGAGAGGACGTGAACGGTAGGGATGAGGTGGGTGCTGACATGGATGACCTAGCCGTGTTAAGCATTCTCAGCACAACAGCTGCCACGACGGCTGGCATTACGCATGCCCGCCAAACACTCCAGACAAATCGCATGTCAGCTGCAGGCTGACAGGGGGCATGTCAGTTGCAGGCTGACAGGGGGCATGTCAGTTGCAGGCTGACAGGGGCCATGTCAGTTGCAGGCTGACAGGGAAGGAAGAATGGGCATGGCAGAAGACACCACAACTGCTTCATATCAGTGCAGACATGACACGGCAAGTTACCAGAAGCGTCTTCAGAGAGGAAGTGATGCAATGGGTGACAAATTTTGAATCGGGGACCTGCATTGACATCAACGGTGGATGGCATGAACATCAACGGTGGATGGCCTTACTGAAGGTGGACACATTACAGCACAAGGTAGCAGAAGCATCTTCAGAGGAGGCGATGCAATGAGGTATGAACTTTGAATCGGGGATGTGCATGACGATGAACGATGAATGACCTATTGATGGTGTTGGCAAGAGAAGCATAAATGCCATAAACTGAGGGGGGCGGGTTGGTCCAGAGGGGGCAGTATTAGATTGAACAGCGGCGTGGCGGGGGGAGGGGGGGGGGGGGGGGGGGGGGTGGGGGGGGTGGGGAGAAAGAAAGGGGGAGGGGGGGAGAGGCAGAAAGAGAGAGAGAGAGAGAGAGAGAGAGAGAGAGAGAGAGAGAGAGAGAGAGAGAGAGAGAGAGAGAGAGAGAGAGAGATCATCTCAGTGAATGGTCAACTTGTATGATTTCTTAAACACCCTCCCTCATGCGATTCTCTTGTCATGTGGACAGAGGTCCCCTTAGCAACAGGCTTGGATAGACAATAGTTTGTGTGGCAGGAGAACGACCCAAATCTGCCCTGCAACGACTTGTGATCCGAAGGTTGGTGTTTTACACATATTAACTGAAGAAAGACCTGTCCTTAAACCACCAGTACATCTGAGGGCACCGGCTCCCCTCTGCGCGCCAGGGGTTGCCTAGTTGCTAGCACAGCCTTCTTTTCCCCATTTGGCTGTCATCACCCGCCCTTTTGGCACTGCTGCCCGAGCCTCCAAACTTTGCATAGAGGCTGTCTCGCTTTCTCAGGTTGCCTGCGGCCAGCTTTACCACTGCCCTGTTAGTTTCCTGCCAAAATCTGCTCCAGCTCATGGGTGATCTCAGAAGTCGGGCCGTCTCCACCGAATCGGTGTATGCCTGACCCCATTGAGAGGCAGGTTTGGGCATACACCCATGGTTTAGAACACTTATCGTACTTTCATAGTAGCGTCTTTGCTTGAACAGAATGTATCGTAATCAGGCCTGCATTTGGGCGAACTTCAGTCTAGATACAGCGATAATGACCGTAGTGCACAACAATCTCATTGGTAGAAGCACTATTTCAATCACAAAGTCCATATGGTACGTCATTATCACTGCTTACATAGGTTTCTTTTCTCGTTCAAAACGGGAGGCAGTTGTTTTCTTCACTATTCTGGCGACATCCACCGTCAGAATATTTTGCATCTCATGGCTGGGAAGCCCTACTCTGTTGTTTCTGGCAAGCAGTGCTCTATTCCTTTTCGTTTTTGGGCCCTTCCATGTAATTTTTTATGTCCATGAATGCATAATGGCCCTGTCACATGGCAAGTGCCGTGGCGTAAGCTGGCAGGAAAGCACCCATAAGCCTACCCCACTGCTACCGTTTCCCCCAAAACATAACGTGCCCTGATAATGGACGTATACAAGCCATCTTTCCGGTTGTGTACAGCCATAATGGGGGGGTGCTGACCTCGTGCCAGGGTTGGATTAGACTGATGTCAACCTGGAGTCTCTTCCTCAATCCACGGAGCAACAAAATTTGCTGTGTTCTTTAAAACCTCTGCCACACTGTTAACGTCACCTTGCACATCCCCTGAGGAAGCCGGCACTGGCGAGCCAGCAGAAACACGTGTCGGGTGTTTCGCCAGTCGTGTCTATCGCCTATGGTGACGTTTCGGCGTCATCTACTTTTGCATCTGTTTGGCTCTTCAATTTCATATCTCAAGAGCCGTTGCGCTCAGGGTTTTCTGTCCATCCTTGACTCTGTCTTTTTTCCATCACCTTCGTCTGTGATGCATGTATCTGTACGATTGGCTTTCGCCTTTTGTGCGTTCAAAAAGGAGGCAGTTATTTTCTTCATTATCACTGCTTACAGAGGTTTCTTTTCTCGTTCAAAAAGGAGGCAGAGTTCTGCTACTCGGGTAGCAGAACCAATTTTGCTGTTTTCTTTACGACCGCTACAACACTTAAGCGCAAAATGGGGATCACGGTCTCGACTCTCCACAAGTGGGTAAAAGACAAAGGCCTGAGTTACGACTGTAAACCACCAGTACGTTTCCCAGCCAGCCATGTTTTCAAAGTTGCGGCTTGCATACTGCCACAACTTTTGGGGTCCGGCCACCGGAGCAAAATGGCTTGCAGCGCCATCCAAAAAGAGGCCCGCACTGGTTCTTTCTTTTGTTTGAACCTGTATGAGGACCACCAGAGCAAAATGACTTGCAGCGCGGCACATTCCCTTCATGTTGTTCTCTGAATAGCGGAGCGAGGCCCTCATACTTGCACTTTCGCTCCCGAGACGACAAAAACACACAAGTGAATGGCTGCTAGCTCAGTGGGCAGAGCACCGGTTGGAAATGCGCATTGTGGTCTGAGGTTGCGGATTCAAAAACTCCACGGCCTCGTGCACGTACGCCGGCAGCGTTCTCATAACGCACAGCCATTGGCACACCCCCCCTTCGGCTGATGCACGGAAAGGAATACAGACACTTGCCGCGCACCAAGGGGTTAGTCCACAGTTGTTGTATGCTGGGATCTGAACTATGGGAGGTTTGCCTGATGTTCTTGGTTATGGGTCGTTCCGAAGCGTGCACTTGTCCCCTGGTCTAATACAGCGCACAAAACAGACAAGTTGTTAGTGTAGCTCAGGGGGGTTGGGCTCTTTGCTGTATGGAAGAGGGCCAGGGTTCGAATCTGATTGGGCCGGGCATATTACACTTGTACAGAGGTGACTGGGATGCGGGCAAAGGGATCGTGGAGGGGTAGATCATGCAACATGGTTACCTTACGGCTCTGCTTTGGGCGGGGAGGGCTGCAGGTGGGATGGATAGGGGTGTCCCGTTAGTGGGGGGATTAGGTAAGAACGCCCTGAAGTACAGCCTCCCTGGGGGCTAACACCGGGATAAGCCCGCTCGATGATAGAGGTAAGAGGAACGGATGGTGGCCTAGTACATACCGATGACTGAGACCGGTTGCTGCTCTGGATGAGGACTCTAGGGGGGATCTTGCAGTAGGGGTTGTCCGCACATCTTTTGATAATAAGCTAGAACCCGTTGGTCACAATCATAGCAACCAACAATGCCCAGTACAAAACAGCACACCCACAATAACGTGACTAGAGAGGGATCTTTTTTTTTTTTTTTTTTTTTTTGCAAACTTCAAGGGCAGGAAGTCCACTTGCAAGGTGATAAGAGCATCCTCATCAAGCGACCCCTGCAGCGAAGGCTCCATCTATTGGTGCGGAGCAGCACCTGCTGGAAATCGGGTCCAGCGTCCCTGTACAATGCTATGATGAAATGGAAATCATGTAGGGTCTAGGGGGATGTCTATAGGTAGAAGAGTGGATGGTGGCCGTACATCTACTGATGATAGGCTAGCGCCTGTGGGTCATAATTACAGTGGTACACNGTGTGTGTGTGTGTTAGACAGGTCACAGATGAGAAAAAAAGGGGTGCAGTGTGAGAAGAACCATATGTACATATAGAGCGCACTTGGCGAAACAAACGGTTAAAAAAAAAAAAAAAAAAAAAAAAAAAAAAAAAAAAAAAAAAAAAAAAAAAAGAGCAACATGAGGGCAAACTGAAACCATTCATTTTTCTCATTCTTTTTCCAACTCCCCCTTCACCGTGCATCTCACGTACAAGGCTCGCCACGCTGATGAAGTTGAGGCGATCTGCCCCCATCCCTGTGTGCCATAACGGCCCACTTGTAGGCTGTGAGAAAGAGGCGAAGTAAGGGGGGAGGGGATAAACAATGGGAAGAGTGATGGAGAGAAGAGAAAGAAAGAACGAGAAAGGGTAAGTAAGGGAAAGTACGGAGTGAGGGCAAAGGAGAGGATAAGAAAAGGCTCAAGAATGAGTCTGTCCTTGACGACAGAGGGCATACATTGTGAGGATTAGTGGATGGACATGTGGAAGCCCTAGCTCTTTTTTTTTTTTTTTTTTTTTTTCATTTTTTTTCAGCATTCTCAGTACAACAATTGCCACGACAGCTGGCATTGAGCATGCCCACCATACACCCCCTAGAAATGAATGGCATGTCGATTGCAGGCCAAAATGAAGGAAGAACGCTCGCCACAAAAGACCATGCATTCAGTATAGCACCTATGGCCTCAAAATAGATATATAGTGTCCGGACGTGGAGGGTGCCTGCAGTCAGGAACGGAGGGACAGTCCTCTACACACATGGATGCAGAAACCATGTCGTTGTAGTGATTGTGACACAGACGATGGCGGCTACAGCTGAGTGTAACAGTGTTTGTAGTTGTGCAAAGGAGAAGGTCACAGAGTGTTGGTACATTGTCCTGCTGCAGCATTCTCCTTTGCACAGCTACAAACACAGTTATACCATGCGACCATCTCCTTTGCACAGCTACAAACACTGTTAAACTCTGCGACCTTCTCCTTTGCACAGCTACAAACACTGTTAGACTCCGCTGTAGACACCATCGTCCGTGTCACAATCACTACCATGACATGTTTTCTGCATCCATGTGTGTAGAGGACTGTCCCTGTGTTCCTGACTGCAGGCACCCTCCACACCCGGACACTATACGTCCACTTTGAGGCCATGGGCGCTATACTGAATGCATGGTCTTTTGTGTTGATCGTTCTTCCTTCATTTTGGTCTGCAGAGTCTTCCATCTGGTGTCGGTGAGTGATGGACTGCTTTGATTTTCATCATAGGTCCATCTGGTGTCGGTGAGTGATAAACTGCTTTGATTTTCATCATAGGTACTGTACCCGTGAGGGCAGTGGTTGGCGGTCCCCGCCCACCAGGAAGGCATCAGTTGTGGGGTCATCGTTGATGCTCGATCGCGACCGGGGTTAAGGTGGATTGGCACTTGCAGTGTGCACAGCAGTTACCCAATTCTTCCCAGTTATGTGGGTACCGCACCCTTGAGGGAGTGCTTGGTGGTCCCCACCCACCAGGAAGGTGTCAGTTGTGGGGCCATTGTTGATGCTCGACCGCAACCAGGGTTAAGGTGGATTGGCACTTACAGTGTGCACAGCAGTTAACAAATTCTACCCAGTTATATTTTACCACAGTAACTGTGAATGTCATTTTTTATGTTCATTAGGCCGGTTTTAGGACTTCACCCGAGTCCAAGGCCGAGCTTTGTTTGGCCCTGTGTGTAGCTCTGTCCCTTGCGTCATCATCACTGTATACACCATTTTTCTGGCCCGATACAGTCATGCTGAGGGTTCATTATGTTGGGGCGAAGACGATAGCTTCTAGCTGGGCACAGATGCCAAATTCAGCAATAGAGCAGGGGACAGAGCTACATAAACCGCGAGAGCTGATTGCTCTACTTGGACTCAAATTTGCAGAGTCCGGGAAAAGGAAAAAAGGAAAAACGAAGTCCAAAAACCGAACTAGCACTGACTCTGAGAGTTTGAGTCAAATTTGCGAAATAATAAACAACCCTGGGACTGAGGGCGTGAGCCTTGCAACCCCTGGGGTTTTCGGCTTGTTTTCGTGCTGCGACTGTCGTATTTGCCTTGGGCACCAGGCCTTGAATAAACTTCTATAACTTAGTATAAAGTAGTATTTTCTCAGAGGGGGAGGGAAGGGGGGAACAGAACAAACTTCAACAAAGGCGAAACAAAATACTTACTTCTCCAAGTACTTCGCCTGCACATTCTTGCCGTAAAACGTCCCCAGTAAGTAGGGGTCCGGATCAACCTGCAACACATTAAAAAGCAACCCCACCCGCCCACCGCCCCACGACCCCAACAATCAAAGAATGCGACAGTGCATACCCACCAATCATCATCAACAATGAAGAGGGGCACAATGCTTTTCATTGTCCTGAGCTTCTTGGTTGAAGTTTTTTCTTTTTTTTAAGGGAAATTTCAAATTTGTGTTATACCCCTCAAAGTTCAATTGATTTGCGTTGCGCCCCTCTGACGGCTGACTCACCCTGTCGCGCCCTTCTGTAGATCTGATGCCAGATAAGAGAATCGCAGATATCTGGAAAAAGGCTAGAGGTGTGTCTTGTCTAGGCTGAGCACTTCGTGCCTTCTACGGCCTTAGTGAGCAATAGAACAAAATCATCTGCTGACGTAAAATTTCTGTTCTGCCGAACGAAGGCCTTGCCTTCGCATTTGTTTGTTTCTTGGAGATCCGTCAGCTCTGCGCCTCTTTCTTAGACGACTCAAGTTTCTGAGAAACCCCTGGTGTCAGTTGGGCTTGAAATATGTTTGATATGCCCCTACCGCTACTGGTTCCAAGTATTTAGTATGCCCCTACCGAATAGCCGTTCATTACAAGCAGATCCTGTCCCCATAATTGCTGTTTTTGCTCCATCCTCCGCCGCTTCATTCGCCTTCGGTAAACGACGAGGTGAACACTTTACGTCCGTCTTCGTCAGTTTCTGTGTCGACACAGGAAGAATGCCCAGATTCGTAATGGGATTGTCCTTCCTCAGCAAATCAAAAGGTTGTGAACTCTAGAGGCAAATGATAGGTTTTACATGATGCCAGCGCCGAACCGGTTAGCGCTAACGCAACGCACCAGCGCTAATTCACAGACCAGCGCCGCGGTAACTTTTTCGCGCGCCGCGGAACCCCTGTGCCGCGCGCGAACACGCGCGTGATTCATTGCTTCGATGTCGTAGAGAACGAGCGGTCGAAAGTATCGGGAACTTCATAGTCATACCACGCCACGCCTCAGGGCGTAGCCTCCAAGAGCAAGGCAAGAGCACGAGTGGCTAATGAGAGGAGGGGAGGGAGAGAGGGGAAGAGTCAGTAAGCGGAAAGGAGAGGAGAAGTAGGAGAAGTTCATGCTACGAGAAGAAAGGCCGCATTCATCTCAACTCGGACAAGACAGAAGATCGCTCAAAGTCGGAAAAGGACAGACAACAAACACGAGCTACAGTAAGCGTTGGAGAGAACTCACTGCCGCCGAGAACGACAAAGAATTAAGGGGAGAGAAACAACGTCACAAGGTGTCACGCCCACGGGCGGGACGGCCCAGTTCCGGACAGGGAGAAGAGAAATACAAGAGAAAATACGAGAGGGGTAAAGATCGTTTCGGGAAGAAGGGGAAAGAGGAAGAGGATTACTATGTTGGGGAAAAGACAGGAGTAAGGCGCAAATCAGGAGAAGAGAGTCAAACACAACTACCAAAAAGGAAGAGGGAGGCGAAGACAAGGACAACAAGGATAGTTCAACGCAAGCGAGAAATACAAGAACAACATACAACCAAGATTGCATTCATATCGACTTACAAGGTGTGATCAACCCCCCTCCAGAAAATAAAGGTAAGCTTCTCAGACCACTCTTCACCCTATAACCGGCGAACACAGACGACAACCAGCGGACAAAACAAGGACGAAAAAAGGGCGAGCTTTCAAGCAGATGGAAACACTAGACATCGAGCTATCATAAACGTTAGAATTTTGTTGGCCACTAAAGCCTAGCACGAATCGCGTTAAGTTTAAACACCAAGGCGACATCCACCCCCCCACCCTTCTACCCTATCTCCACACATCCCCGATCCACTTCCAACCTCCTACCCCACGCCCAGTGGCTCCCTAGTCTTCACCACCCCACTCCTAGCACAAACAACCCCCAACACCGCCCTAGATCCGGAACTCTCGTCTAACCCCGCTCCCACCCGATCGCCCAATCCGATCCCCAGCCCAATCGAACTCAGCAGTCAACTCACTCCCCCCCCCCCCCCCCCCCCCCCCCCCCCCCCCCCCCCCCCCCCCCCCCCCCCCCCCCCCCCC